ATTTTATAATGATCACACCTTTGCACTAGTGTTCTCAAAACATGCCTTCAATAAGCATAGTATCACAATTACAAAACCAACAACAAGAAAATGACGGGCCAGCTTTTAAAAGTGGTATTTCCCTACCTGCAAACCTTTTAAAATCTGTAGAAACTACCAACTTGGATTTTTTATTAGTATTAATGAAGGAAATTTCTAGAATAACGCTAACAGGTATTTGCACAAATATTGATCCGTTAATGACAAATGGACACCAGCCATTGTGCAAAAGCTGGAAAGTTTATGTTAGATAGTTGAGGAAATATTTGACAATAAGTAGCGCCACGAATTTTTGACCGCACTACAAAAGTGCACTATAGTGGACATTGCTTTTTTTTTTCTAAGGAAACACATTTTTTCATAAGTGTATCTCTCTGAATTATGGACAATTTTGGGCAGTCTTTTTCATGGTCTTAGTATTACTAGTTGTAACTACGTTTGAGAAGCGGAAAGAGTCGTAGTTTCGAAATAAATTACATTTTTTCGATTTTAGTGTAATGTTTGAGCTTGCACTATTTACCAATACGAACATAAGTATAAACAAGCTCATCATCATCATCCCATGCCTTGCCAACTGGTGTGGGCGATCATGGACCTCCACTTCCCTCTGTCTTGCGTTGCAGCAATGGTGTCTGTTGTCCTTGCTGCTCCTAACCATATTGTCATCTTGTCCAGTATCTTTTTCCTCTGTCTGCCTCTGCCTCTCTTTACTTCAAACGTGCCTGTTGTTACAATATTCTCTAATGCTTCTTTCCGCATTGTGTGTCGGAATAAATTTGCCTGTCGCTTTCTTATATTCGTCATAAGCTGTCTTTTAGAATTTGCTTCCACCAAGACTTCTTAATTTGTTTTTCTAGCTGTCTATGGGATACGTAGCATGCGTCTTATGAACCACAACTCTGTCGCCACAATTGTTCTTTCCAGCTGTTTATTGATTGTCCATGCTTCGAACCCGTATAATAGGATATGCTCGATGTAACTTTTCAGTACTCTTTTTCTCGTTTCCAGTGATAGATTGATGTTTGTTAGTATCTGTTTCATTTTGTGGAAGGTTGCTTTTTCTTGGCAAATGCGGCTTTTAATTTCGGTGTGACATCTCCCATCGGAAGATATAATGGTCCCCAAATATTTAAAATGTTGTACTTGCTTGAGGGTGGTATCATTGATTTTGATATTGCATGTTGGGGTTGGAGTTTTTCTGCTTATCACCATTGTTTCGGTTTTCTTGATGTTTAGGCTTTAAGCTCATTGTTTTCACTCTCGTGTACGATGACATTTAATAAATTCTGTAGGTGTTCTTCATCTTCTGCTATTAGGGCTGTGTCGTCTGCATATCTTAGATTATTTATATTATGTCCCTCTATCGAAATACATGGCATTTCTTGTATGTGTCTCGTGATATTTTCACTATACAGGGAGAACAAGTCTGGAGAAAGTACACATCCTTGTCTGACTCCTCTTTTAATCTGTATTCGCTGATGTCGTTTTCTATTCGCATTGCAACAGTTTGATCCCAGTACATGTTTTTGATAATCCTTAAGTCCTTCCCGTCAATATTGAGGACTTCCAGCATGTCGATGATCTTGTCGAACCAAACTTTGTAGAATGCTTTGGTGTAGTCTATAAAACATAAATGAAGGTCTTTCTGAACTTCTAGGGCACGTTATATTGTTGTTCTGATGACATATATGGCTTTTGCAGTGCCTTTGCCTTCAATGAATCCACACTCTTCTTGCGCTATTTCTGTGAGGATGTTATTTCGTATTCTCATCATAATTATTCTGAGTAATATTTTTGTTGTGTGGCTCATGAGGCTGATGGTACGATGAATTTCACATTCGATGCATTAGGATTCTTTTTGGTAAAGCTATGAAGATAGATTTTGAAAGTCTGATGGAATACGTCCAGTGTCATACATGTTGTTAAGAAGTTTTGTCAGTGTGGTGATTCCAAAGTCTTCTAAAGCTTTAATCATCTCTGTGGTAATGTTGTCCAGTCCTGCAGCTTTCCAATTCTTCATCTTTCGTAGTGCCTTGATAACTTCTTCTTTCATGATTGGTGGGCCCTCGTTGTTATTTTCCACTTTTCTTTTTTCATCTCTTTTGTCATTGTTTAGGTCACCAATATATTCTGTCCAATGTTCTAGATATCATCCTTTGATTTGAGGCATCCTGTTGATCCACGTGCTCTTGTATGGCACACCTCTTTAATTTTTCTATGCAGATCTTTTGAGTTCTCTTTGGAATGATTTTCCATTTCCTCTCATATTTCTTTTAACCACTTCTCTTTTGCTAGATTACATTTGTGTCTGATTTCTTTATGAAGATTCAAATATTTTTCCAGATTGTTTCTGTTTGTTCTTCGTTCCTCTGTAAGATTAAGAATGTCTTCAGTCATCCAGTTCTTCTTTGCTTGAAATTTTTAAAAATGGCATCAGTTGAAA